CCTTATCAAGGTCTTTTAATAACTCTATTTGTTTTTAAAATTTCGGTTTTGCTTTGTTAACTCAGTTGTAAATATACTTCGAGCAAAATCAATTGTTGAAGGGTTATATATTAGGTATCACATAAACTAATGTATGTATAAAGAATTATATTGATATATTTGATAATTATTAAAACTTCGCCAATACTCAGCAGTTTCAATACCGATACCGTGGAAGTAAATGTCTTCGGGCTCATCGAAAGAAATATGTCCCAGAGAAAATTACTTGACTCAGGTAAATGTAAGCTATTATGAGTTGACCGCTGGCAATAATATTGTACCAAATGATGCTGAATAAAATTAAGAGGTCACCATGCAGCAAGAGAAATTTTTCATCACAAATTCTATTTCATCTCCATCCGGGGACAGACAGTGAATCCGGAGCTTTTCAGCTACCCGTGATGGCCATTTATGTTCAATGTTTAAAAAATAATAATAATAATAAATAAATAAATAAATAAAAAGAAATTTAAAAAAATAAAAATAAAAAAATAAATAAAAAATAAATAAATAAATAAATTTAAAAAAAATTAAATGAATAAATAAATAAATACCTGTGACGTGACTAGCTATTTTATATTGTACTGTTATTGTCGATGTCCATCCTTTGAGTCTGTTATGTAACGCTGCTAGTTTATCTATGTAAAATTAAATTGTCGCTACTAGGCCGGGATAGCCTGGTCAGTGGGGTGCCGGGCCCATGTCCAAGAGTTCGTGGGTTCGGTCCCCGCCGGTCGAAGACTCTTCGTGTAGTAAATGGTGACTGATGCATGTTAAATCTGTCGAGTCTCAAAGTCCTCCATGTTCCCATAACAAATCAATACCTCTGGGTGTACCGATCCAGGAGTTTCCTTGTCTTCTGGATTGGTTCAAAATTACAAGGCTACGGCGTTGAACATTAGTAGTCGTAAACCCAAAAATTGGGTCGACTGTTCAACGGCGGTCATAAAATAAAATAAAATTTCCTCTCCATAATTGGTTTAAAATTTAAAGTATAGAAAAAGTGAGTTAGGGTAAGCCTAACTGAAGCCATAATGTTTCAAATGCTGAAAAAAAATTGAAAATGTCAAAATGTAAACAAATTTCTGGAATAAAACTTCCCCATCCTGAGTTATCTTCTCATAATTTCTTTTCATTTTGATATTTTGAAATTTTATTTTGAGTATTTGAAACCTCATGGCTTACTCTAGATTTGTTTGAAATCACTTTTTACATACTATACATTTTAAATTACTTATGGAGATGAAAAGAATTGCTATAAAAAGTGTCTCCAGCATTCTCTTAATCCCTATTCTGATGGGATAAATTACGAAAAGCATGTTTTGCTTCATTTAATAATGTAAAGCCATCGAGAAAGGCAGCAGATAATGATAAATAAATGAAATTATTTTAACGTTATTAATTGTGTTGGTATATGCCTTTCAGTTTTTTTCATGATTTTGCAGAGTTGGTTTATGATTATTTTCTTTTTTTATTATTTTCTAGAAGTTTTTATGACTAGTGTCTGATTTATTGATTATTTTCTTTTTATATTCACCCCGTACGAAGAACGGTTATACAGCTTGTGATTGAATATATCTAACAACACTTTGCGTAGCATTTTATTAATTCTTTTTCAATCATCTGAATTTCTTAACTCCGTATATAACGCCCTCAGTGTAAGCATCAGTGCTTCTGATGAAAACTATATAATAATCATACATATTGAAATATCATTACTTTCTTAATAATTATTTGAAAACAAAACTCTTATCGCCATTGCACAACGTCATCAATTTAAGCATCAGAGCTTCCAATGTAACTTATCTAATAATCATGTATATTATAATATCATTACTTTCTTAATAATTACTTGAAAACAAAAATCGTAACACCATATATAACTTACTCAGTGTAAACATCAGTGCTTCTGATGACGACTATCTAATAATCATACATATTATAATATCATTACTTTCTTTATAATTACTTGAAAACAAAAATCTTAAAACCATGTCCAACGTCCTCAGTGTAAACAGCAGCGCTTCTGATGAAACTTATCTAATAATCACGTATATTTGATGTATATTTATATCATACATATTTATATAATGCATATTTATATCATTACTTTCTTAGTTATAACTTGAAAACAAAACTCTTAACACCATGAATAATGAAAACATTATGAATGAAATGCTTTTGAAAAACATTGAAGTAATAACTACTTTCATAAACAGGGATTAATGAATAATTCCTATGATCACACTGATCATAATCAATTTAGAGTAAGAATATTTGTTGCGCAAATATGCCCCTAGCGAAATGAGGATTACCTTTGATAAGAAATAAGCGCAACCACGGCCTTGTTTATCAGTGGCAGGGGAATATTTCTTAATTTTTAATCACGTTCTTTCATGAAAATGAAGTAATTAAACAATTTTGTTCGTCGCATTCAAATAACAAGTGTGTTTAATATCAACCACAGGCCGTATATTTTCTGATTTTATTTATTTATTTATTTTTTGTTCACTCTGTAAGTGGACAATACAAACATGCATCTTTGCCGTTGCTGTAAGTTTAAGATTATATTTTTCGGAAAAATAGTCTCGAATATGCTTACTCTAAAAATATTGAGGGAAAAAAAACATAAAAAAATAGTAATTTGAAAATTTTATTTTGTTGTTCCTCTTATTTCTTAGTGTACTTTAACTTTTTTATAACATAAAAAATTTATACGCTTTAATATTAATATGATTATACGAAGAAAAACAGCATTATTATGCTATTTGCATACATGGATTGTAATCTTTCATTTAATTTGAAAGCATTTTCAGTGCTTTTCAGCATGCTTTCAAGTTCATGCTTATTGAATATGTAAGTATTTTAAATTACTATTTCTGAACATATGCTTTTCTTTAAAAATGTTCAATGTTGGTATCAAAAATGAGAATTTACGTTGAATATTTGCAGTCATTGTTTAATGATAATTCCCTTGTCGCGTAATTTATACCACAATCAGTACTCTTATTTTTAAATCTTAGACGCTCTTTTACAAAGCTTGAGAAATATAATTAAAAAAATTTTTAGCAAATGTTCACACAGATAATTAAAAATATTTTTCTCTTAAAATTTCGATTTTTTTTGTTTTAAGCCGTTTGCTTAAAAATCTCGAACTTCCCTGCATCTTCTAACAATTTATCATAAATTTCAAATTGAAGATCTTAGAGCGGAAACATGATAAGAAACATTTACAAATTATTCAACAGAGAATATTTTAGTCCCGATTCCCCATTAGTAGGCAGTAAAATGTGATTGATACTGTATTTTTACCTACTGGAAATTCTATCAATTTGTATTTGAATAATTATTTAAAGACAATACGATGGAAGAGTTTGCAAAGTGTCACCTTTGAAAAAAGTGTGGATTATCACTACAGTGCCGCATGCCCTTCAATAAATAAAAGAGTTTCCATTGATCACAATTGCGTTACACTGATTACACTACGGCGACATATTTCTTCAAATTCTACTTTGTATCCTTGAAGGATAAAATTGCATAAGAAATGTAATTGTAAAATAAAATTGCATGAATAAAAGAGTTCCCATTGATCACGATTGCGTTCCACTAACCACACTACGGCAACATATTTCTTCAAATTCTACTTTGTATCCTTGAAGGATAAAATTGCATAAGAAATGTAATTGCAAAATAAAATTGCATGAATAAAAGAGTTCCCATTGATCACGATTGCGTTCCACTGACCACACTACGGCAACATATTTCTTCAAATTCTATTTTGTATCATTGAAGGATAAAATTGCATAAGAAATGCAATTGCAAAATAAAATTGCCTGAATGAAAGATTTTCCATTCATCACAGTTGCGTTCCACTGATCACACTACGGCAACATTCTTCAAATTCTATTTTGTATCCTTGAAGGATAAAATTGCATAAGAAATGTAATTGCAAAATAAAATTGCATGAATAAAAGAGTTCCCATTGATCACAGTTGCGATCCACTGATCACACTACGGCAACATATTTCTTCAAATTCTATTTTGTATCCTTGAAGGATAAAATTGCATAAGAAATGTAATTGCAAAATAAAATTGCATGAATGAAAAAGAAAGATTGACTTTTTGCACAGATGGATGACAATTTAAATGATAATAAAGAAAATATATAATAAATAAATAAAAAATAATTTTAAGGGGAAAATTGAAGTTATAATAGATAAATGGAAAGAATAATAATAACAATAATAATAATAAATTCGGATTTGAGAGATACTTTTTTATGTTTACTGAATAAAAAGTAAGGAAAAAATTTTTTCTTTCGGCGTACTTAAAATTGTGAAACAAACGCTCGAGTCAACGAGGTTTAGCTATTGATCGCAAACGAGCTCTTGTAAAGAAAATATTTATTAAATTTTCATATATTGTCCTTATTTTTTTTATCCTAGCACAATACTAAAATATTTATGTATACGGTAAAAGTTGTTTATCGTTCACCGTAATATAAAATAAAATTACTTCAGTATAAAGAATTTTTTTTTGCTTCAATTTTTACATTGATAAACAACATATGTTACATCAATTTTTTATAACAAAAATTTCATGCGTGCTATATAATAGAAGAATATATATATATATANNNNACTTTTGATTCATACCCCTTCTCTTTTCATTGAAATTACATTGAAATTGAATGCACACTCTTTCATTTAAATTTTTGAAACTATAATTCAATGAACACTTTATAATTATTTACTTATTTCGATCAATAACTTTAATAGAAAATTGGTTCAGTAATTATTTATTGTAACATATAGTATTTTAGTCATTGAGTAAGTTAGCTTAGAAGTTATCCTCGAAAAGTAACCGGCATGTTACTCTAAATAAGAACCTTGTAGAAAAGAAATCAAGCCAAGGACGAAGACAAAACATATTTCCGGCAACCCTCTACTATGTAAAACGTAAAAGAACGACTTGGAAAGAAAAGTGAACGAAACGCGAAAAGCAGAAAAAGATTTTTCGCTCCACTTTCAAAACAACTCGTCTGCAGCAGTCGCGAACTCTGGTTTTGAGTCGTACGCTCTCATTAGCAAAGCAATGCAGAAAAGAATACCAACTGACAACAACATTTTGGCAATAGTTCTTTTATAGTGGATATATTTAGAATTCACTCCTGGTAAACACACTAAACAATAACAACTTCAGATATATCATGGGAAGAGGTGCGATCGGAACTGGTGGTGGAGGAGGTATAGAACTGCAGAAAAAACTTGGACTGCTAAACGGTATTGCAATAATCGTCGGCATCATTGTAGGCTCTGGTATTTTTGTATCGCCCAGAGGTGTGCTACAGGACACTGGATCTATAGGTCTAGCTCTAATTGTGTGGACTCTCTGTGGGCTTCTGTCCACTATTGGAGCCTTGTGTTATGCAGAACTAGGAACTGCTATTCCAAAGTCTGGAGGTGACTATGCATATATCTTCGAATCCTTTGGACCTGTACCCGCTTTTTTATTTCTGTGGGTAGCCTTAGTAATAATTGTACCTGCTGGTAATGCAATTACTGCACTAACATTTGCAAATTACATATTAGAGCCACTTTTTCCCGCTTGCCTTCCACCCCCCTTTGCTGTTCGACTGCTGGCAGCATTAGTTATCTGTAAGTACTAGTTTGTTTAATATCTAATGCATTTAAAGTGTAAAAGTTTAGATAAGCATTAATATTGGAATGCCTACTTATGAAATTTTATATCGTCTAATTTTGCGTTATGCAGCCATACTTTTAAAGTAATTTACATAAAAAAGGAGAGATTTTACAATTATTTTTGTTGCTGCAGTGTCTCATCGAAAATCGTTATATAAATAATAATATAAAATTTCAAATTTATAGTTCTTGGAATGCTTGATAATGAAATTTTATGGCAACAATTATTATGATATGCATATTTTTAAAATCATTTAACTGAAAAAAATTTTTATATTCGCCAACAAAAAAAAATTTCTTAGGGAAATTTGATTTCTTGCAAAACTTAATGCCTGGATTGTCTTATAATAAAGTTTACGCTTATAATTTAATTTTATAAATTAAGTAGATAATTTAAACACTTTGCTGTAAACGAAAGAACTTCATAGAATATTTTCTGTTTGTATTAAATAGATACTTATTGTGATGTATTTTGCTAGAGATAAAAAATGCTTAGAATGATGTTTAAAGAACTGCTTTTTACTACTTCAAGTTTTATAACTTCTGTTTCAAAACTAGTTTAAAAAATTATATATTTGTGATCCCCTGAAAAATTTTAAAATCAATTTTTATTATAAATAAACTTGCGACACATTTATTATTTTTTCAAGAATAGGATACTTCCTTTTTAATTTCAGTGTGTCATTAATACTGGATTTAAGAATATGAAAGTTCGAGGTTTTTTAACACACATGATCAAATTTTGTTTTAATTTTAGTGGGAGTTTTTCTTCTTTTTTTTAAGGAAGCTAAAGAAACGTTATTTAATAGCTGAATTTAAATGAGATTGAACAGAACCAATCTCCTTCAGTTTAAAATTTTTAGAGTAATATCTGAGAATAATTTATTTTAATTACTTTCTGCATGCTTAGATTATACATCAACGAGATTTTTAACCGAATAAGTACATATTATTTTTTAATTTCCATATCAAATATTTTCTGTGTCCTTTTAATAGTGAAAAAACTTTAATCCATTAAAAAACTTAATGACTAAATCTATGCTTTGTGCTATGTTTACATCTCTTTATGCTTGAAATTTATAAAAACTTGAGTTTGATAGATATGTTATAGGAATAATTTTGGCCGAAACGTCATCTGAAAAGCTTAAAATGTTACAGCACTAATTACTTACAATTTATAATTATTATATTTCATATTATAATTAATTATATTAACTATTTGTAATAACGTTCTGATTTCTAATGAAGATCTGATGTATGATATTAACACTGTATATTGCAATTAATATTAACATTATTATTACGAGGAGATGCAATTTAAACAGAAAAATTCATGGTATTACACTTATTTGATTTTATCTTCGTGAACATTAAAGTATGAATAATTTGAAATAATTTTCAAAATTTTTGTTTATTTAGAAAACTTAATGAATTTTAACTTATTAAAAATTTATCCCCGATTCATTTTTTTAACTGTTTAAATTATCTGACACCGGCAGATTTAGTAAATTTTGAATACATTTGTCCACAAAACAGTATCCAGAAATATTATTTTTGAAAACTTCCAGCAGAATCGTTACTTATAATCAAGCCACATCGGATAATAAAGTTTTAAAAAAATATTAAATAAATTTTTAAAAAGAAACATGCAGAAAGAAGGCGTAGTGTTTTGATCGTTTTATTGGAAAATTTTTAAATTGATCTTTTTTAATTTATTTTTAGTAGCTAAAGAGAAAAAAAAGATCCTTCAAGATGTTGAAACATTAAATAAATTTATTTTAAACTATTGCATACATTACATGTTGATTCCAGACTTTTTTTTCAAGTATATAATCCCTCATAGAATCTATGCATAGCTCATATCTTCAATCTTCTATGTCTAGCAATCGCTAGACATAGAAGATATGAAATAACATATGTTACATGTCAATTCATCTTTTTATCATTTTTGTTGGTATAGCGATTGATCTGAATATCAATCTGATCTATAGTTATCTTCTACAATCTGGATATTAATAACGCTTGAAATGTTTAATTGAAGTTGTAGTTAAAAAAAAATTTAATATGCTGTGTGTTTTCGATACAGCAGATATTCAAAAACAAAAGCAACACTATTTTAAAACCATAACTTCCATGGACATAGTTTGCGGACTAATTTGCGGATATAGAGGATATGAAATAACATATATTAGAAGAAATTATAAAGTTGTTAGCTCATCCTTTTTATCATTTTTGTTGATAGAGAGTTTGATCTGAGTATTGATATGATTCTTAGTTATCCTATACAATCTTGATATTAATAATGCTTAAAGTTTTTAATTGAAGTTGTAGTTAAGAAGTTGTAGTCTGTAATAGACTGTTAGTAGTCTGTGATTTGTGATACAGAAGAAAAAACAAAAGAAACACTCATTGAAAACTATAACTTCTAACAAATACGAAATAAGTTTTTTTCATTTGTAAAACCACTTAAAAATATTATAGTTTATAAACTACTTTTGATTCATACCCCCGTAAAAAAATTTTGAATACATCTATGTCAGGTTGCTTCAATTAGGGAAATTTTTTTATAAAAATTACTTCTACTTAGTATATAGCAGATTTCGTTAAATATTTTTTTATTATTAATATATCACTTAAAATAGTTAGAAGTTCAGAAAACTTTTTAGAAATTACAATTTTATTTTTTAGAAAATAAGGAAATATTTCTCAAAAATGTAATAAATAAAAATGCGTTGCTAAAATGTATTATTATTCTTTATTCTTAGTACAATTGCAAAAAAATTGTAAAATGACTTTCCTTATTATTTAACAAATAAAAAATGATAAACAAGGTGTATAATTAACTCTTATAAGTATTGAAACTCCACAATTATTCGATTAAATGCATCAAATAAACAAAATATTAATTTTCTACGTGAATTTATTCTGAAACATTTTATTTACGCATTGTTATAAAACTCGTATGGGATTCAGTTTTATACCTCTAATGATTTAGTTTATCTTTCACCTGGAAGACCTACATTTTTTTTTTCCAAAATCAACTAAGTTTGAGATACGATATTTACCTAGAAAGAGAGATTTTATGTTTGATTTGTCTCAGTTTGTGTAATTTTTACATTTGCAATCAGAAAAAAATGTTCTTTTTATTTTACTACGTTTCTGTTAACTGGTTTCACTTTCGGTGAATGTGTAATATTTTAATCGAAATGTCAAGCACGAACTCAAACTTCGAATGCATTTCTGTGTCCGATAACAATGTAAGTTTCGATCAGCTACTAAGAACAGAAATTATCGCCAAAATAAATTCTTAATTTGACCACTTCTTGAGTAACTTAAGTATTCATGTTTAAACGAGAGCTCTGTATCTACTGTCAATACAAGTTGTAGTTGTTTTCTAATGGTGTAAACAGAATTTATCGAAATTTTATCTGTTTTTCGAGATAAATAAGAAAGCAGAAAAAATTAAAAAGAAAAAAAATATTAAAAATCACGTTTTACAAAAAACTACGCTTTCCTAGTAGACTTAAAAAGAGAAAATAATATTGTCAGAACTAAAACGAAAGCAGTAAAGCATATCAATTACTATAAATATACCTTAGTTTTCTTTTACCTTAGTACCTTACGGTTATCTTTTAACCTTAGTAATATACGGTTTTCTTTTATCCTAGTACCTTACGGTTTTCTTTTACCTTAGTACTTTACGGTTTTCTTTTACCTTAGTACCTTACAGTTTTCTTTTACCTTAGTACCTTAGTTTTCTTTTACCATAGTACCTTACGGTTTTCATTTACCTTAGTACCTTACGGTTTTCATTTACCTTAGTAGCTTACGATTTTCATACTTTACGACAAATGCCTTAGAATTTTCCGTTCATTGATTTGTCGAATCTTTTACTTTAGGCGTTGATAAACACAAACAGTCAAATGAATTTTTCTTTTAATATTCAAGTTACATCAGCAATAAATGAGTGAAAAAAGCCTAAAACAAAAGGGATTTGTCAAAAAAGATTATTATCAAATATTTGCAGATTAATAAGGAATTTGTATTACATAAGTTTTTTATTCGAATATATTCAACTCAATTCGCATCATAAACTCAAATTTTGCTTAAAACTTAGTTTGGAGTGCGTTTTGATCAACTTACCTAGAGTACATACTGCTCTTTTGGCGCTGTGTAGCAAATTCTGGCTCTGGCGCAACTAAAGTCTAGATCTAGATCAAATCGATAACTGATTGTTATAGGTCGAATTACGATACATGATATTTGATACACACTAGTAATCATAAATTAATGAAAAATCACAAAACTGACCATATCTCATACAATTACTCATAGAATTTAATGAAACTTGCCTATTTTATAGTGCACATAATAATTAATTAAATAACATAAAAAGTAATAACCAGAGAGTTATGGTGTTACATAAATTAGCCTATGTATGAAATAAATAAATCATGTGTCAGTTTGGAAAAGAAAAAGTACCTTTAATTCTGGAGTAGGATCACCTCTAGCTGCTAAGCAGAAAAATATAGCTTTCAATTATATGTTCTAGCAGTTCTACGGAAATTGCGAGGCATTGTTCTTGAAAGTGTAGCAAAGGTATGAAGAAGAGGATTGAGAGCAGCTACAAGTCTTCCTAAAGCCTTCTAAACATGTTCGATAGGATTCAAGTCCGGTGATCGAGCTGGCTACTTTGCGTCATCGTCCTGTAGCACGAAAACATCACCTATTGCACCTGCATCATAAACATCAAAGATGTCATCTCTATACTTGTGACCATTTACAGTTCCAAGTGGAAAAACATGCAGGTCTGTGCTTTCACACAAAGAGATACCATCCCACACATAGACGCTGCGTCTTTGGCTCTTCGAATCAAACAACGCTCACTATCTATCACTTTGGTGGCTAAACCTGGACTCATCCGAGATCGTCAAGAGAACAGCCCTCCATTGGTC